AGTATATTTTTTTAATTTTAAATATTTTTTTTTATAAAAATTAATTAATAATTTTTTTAATTAATTCTAATAGGTATAATAATTAAGACCAATAGACATAATAATAACTATCATTAATATGCTTAATAATTTCTCATGCAGAAAGTAGTGAGCAATATTAAATGCTGAATCTTTTCTCAGCTCTCAAGTTCAAAATTTAAATTTAGAAAGTTTAAATTTTAAGTATTAAATATTTTCTCTCCCAATAGACATAATAATAAATTAATAGACTTAACAATTTTCTATGCAAAAAATAAAGGGAAACATGCATAGAGGTTTGTACACATTCTCTAAGTAATAACTTCTAGGTAATATTCACAACATAGAAAATTGTGTTAATTAAACTCTTACATCAAAAGTGCAAACTTAAAAGTGCTTCCTAAAGAATTACAGAAATATCACAATCCCTATATAGTGTAAATGTCAGATTCTCATCCAAACCTTAGGCATAAATTCATGTAGGAAGTAATGGTATAATAAATGAGCTGCCACCAATAATTGTCCAAATATTTTCCCACCACTACAAAGTTTAAAATTCAAAATCCAAATTCAAAATTGAAATTTAAATGAAATTCGAAATTTAAAATAAATATTTCAGAAAATAATGAGTTATTATTAATTTGAAGTCAATGTAGAAAGCAGTGAGACATCGAATAAGTTGTCTGCCACCAACAAATGGTTCACTTAAATTTCAATTTATTTTAATTCGATTTTTAGAGTAAATTATGTATTTATTTAATTTAAACTGTTTAGCCTTTATTTTGCAATTTAAGATCCCATTGAATCTGTTGAGCAATTACAGTGTGTCATTTTAGTTCAAGAATCAGAAAAACCACTTATAGTGGCAACGACAATTACGTTTTAGGTGGCAATGATAATAAATGACATTTATAACTATTAATATTGTTTGATTTATGTCTTTATATATTCCGTTAAATTTGTACATTAAATTTTCATATATGTTATCTTTACCTACTTAGATGCCATTTAAAATGAAGTTTCACTTACTCGTAACTATTAGCATGTAGGTCAACAGATTGGACATCAGCGTAAAACGTAAAAGTCTTTTTTTAAAATGACGTTTCGTGCAGTTTTTATAACTTCGAAAAAATTGTAATTATACCCAATTAACCCCTTTTTTTAAAATGTCATTAATCCTTGCTGCGTTGGTATTGTAAAAGTTTGGACACGGGGTATAACAATTTTTTCATTTAAATTTCAAATATATATGATCCTCCAACCACTACAACACTCACCATCTATTCGAAGTTCACACAATTCAAGTCACCTCCGAGGCTGAGAACCTAGCTAGACGTTTCAACTTCATCTCTCTTATGAGCCTGTCTGCTCCCACTTCAATTCCCAAAGCCTAGCCCTCACCTACACCTTAAAACCCAACCGACTGTCTTTTCCTTTTAATGACATTTATGCCCTTCCTTTCCTTCAATGGCGTAACCTACGTTAGTTCCTCTCTCTCATTCTCGAGATATAAGACATTATGGTCTTAGAAAAGAGAGAGAAGAAATCAATGTTAATTTTAATCATCTGTGAATTTAAATTTTATATCTAGTAAAAAAGCGTAAGTAATGCTGAACTTTTTTTTTTTTTGGGTCTTTTGATTTTTCGATAAATATAGAAAAAAACATTAAATATTTTTTAAAATGAGGGTTAACAACTTTCATGTAAAAAATAGAGGAAATTTAATACAGTTGTCTCCCACTAAAAGATGTTAAATTCTTTTTCCACCTATATCAACTTCAAATCTCGAAATTTCAAAAAAAAAAAAAAGAATATTAATGAACCTGTCTGCCACTAATTAATGCTGAACTCTTTTCTTTGGGTCTTTTGGTTTTTCGATAAATATAAAAAAAACATTAAATGATTTTTAAAATGAGGGTTAACAATGTAGAAAATAATAGAAATTTAATACAGTTGTCTCTCACTAAAAGATGTTAAATTATTTTTCCACCTATATCAACTTCAAATTTCGAAATTTCAAAAAAAAGTGGGATATTAATGCATATGTGATATCTCTGCCACTAATTAATGCTGAACTCTTTTCTTGGGATCTTTTGATTTTTTGATAAATATGCAAAAAAAACATTAAATATTTTTTAAAACGAGAGTTAACAATTCTCATGTAGAAAATAATAGAAATTTAATACAGTTGTCTCTCACTAAAAGATGTTAAACTCTTTTTCCACCGATACAATTTTGAATTTTGAATTCTAAAAAAGAAGTGGGATATTGATGCACCTGTCTCCACTAATTAATGCTGATTTTCGCACTAACTATTTAGAATTATAAAAACATTATTAATGATCATTGAGGACATATGCTTCCAACCTCGTTTGCTGAACAAATGATCATCAAATCTACTTCCATGACCAACCCGCTCTGACAAAAGATAAACAAAATACCGATCCATCTCAGGTTCAAGATTGATTGCAAGAGATGAATTGGAAGAATCAAAAGAAAAATGAGAGAGAAGTGGAAAAATAAAAAAACCATAACAGATGTAGATCAGATCTAAGAAAAATATCCTATAATTTTACCTTTTAACTGTTTTCACTTTAAAGCCATAACAGATGCAGATCTATCCATGCAAATCTTTGAACGCAAAGCTTCTAACATTATTCAATAAAAAAAAGTTCAGATTCACAAATCCAAAAGGAACAAAGAACAATGAGATGCAGTGAGAAAATTTTGTTACGATTTAAAAAAAAAAAAAAAAAATCTTACCGCTGCACTGAGAAAATGAGATGTGGTAGCAGTATTATGAATCCTTCCATCCTGAAAAAATGAATAAATCAGTCAGTGTAAAATTTATGAAAACGAATTCATAGGGTTTGTTCATAAAGAAACAGAAAATTATACCAATAGAACAATCCTTACACACATGAATGAAAAAAAATGCAAGCAAGACACAAAAAAGAAGCAACACTTCCCTATTTATAAGCAAAGTCGTAATTTATTTATTTAAAAAAAAAATAGCTTGTAGAATACACTTCACCGTTACCAATGCAGAAAATAGTGGAGGGAACTTAATTGTTAGGTGACTGAATTATTTCAATTTCAATTAATACACTTCCCATCCATTTCAAATTTCAATTTTGAATTTTGAATTGAGAACATCATTAATACAGTTGTTTGCCACTAAGTATTTTATATTGATTTAAAAGAAACTCTCCCTCCTTTGTAGAATTTTTTTATTTACGAAATAAAAAACATTTCTAAAAGAAGTAACTTTTCAAACTATCTCCAGTGTGAACACAAAGCTAAGAATTAAGGAGGAAGTGACACGTCAGCAAAGTTTCCAAAGTTTGATTCTCCTTTCTATATATTAAGATATATGTGTGTGTGATTAATGTTTCTCATGTTGTAGGAGATAATTTTATGTTTTACGCACACATAAAAGTGTATGAGGCCCATATAAGACCGTGTGAGGAAAAGATAGAGAGAAAAAAAATATAGGCCCCACATATTTTTATGTGTGTAAGAGATAATACAACATAAGAAAAAAAAATTATATATATATATATATATATATATATATATATATATATATAGGAAAAATTTGTACTTAAAACCTATTTTCGTTTACAAACTTTTACAATCACATCTTAACCATTGATTTTCGCCAATCAACAATTATTATTTATTGTGAATTAATATTTAATTAATAAATTTGATTTGCGAAAATCTTAACTGTTGATTGACGAAAATCAACGGTTAAGATATGATTGTAAGAGGTTGTAAACGAAAATAGGTTGTAAGTATAACATTCCTCATATATATATATATATATATATATATATATATATATATATATATATATATATATAGGCAGGATTCTTTGTTATTATCGGTGTCAAATTAAAAAGTTTGACATCAAATTTTAACTGTTGATTTTCGTCAATCTTACTGTTATAATTTATTGGCTCACATTTATTAATTAATTTTTAATTCTCAATAAATTATAACCAATAGATTGATGGAATTCAACGGTTAAGATTTGATGTCAATATATATATATATATATATATATATATATATATATAATGGAATTTTAAAACTATCCTATTGTAAGTGGTCATCAAGGTTTGAAGGTCAGCAAACAAGCTTAAAGGTTTGTAATGCTACTGGTTAAGTTTAAATTTGAAAAGACTGATATGAACAAATATTGATTTCTTATCAAACATATCAATTTGTATGTTTTTCTACTTGTAGCAGTACAAACAGTAAGCGAAGGGCTTGTCCTTCGTGGCTTACTTGGTAACTTGGTTGGATGACCAAAATAATGAAAATTTATTGTTACAGATCGACCAAAGGAAAGTGAAAAAAGTTAATCTTCCGAACAAGAGGTGCACTGAAGACTGAAGTAGCTATCTCAAAATGTTTTGTATTCTCTCTTACATACATAACAGTCCAGTGCCACATGCTAGTTTTCATGTGACTCTACTATATTAGGAACAAAACTCGAGTGTTACCCAGTTTGCTGGCACAACTTCCTTTGAGCTTCTAGCATAGGTTTTTTTATAAGCATAACTCGAGAATAAATTTTATGAAGTAGCTCTTCCATGGACATATAACGTAAGCCCCTTTGTTTATTTTTTTAAAAATAAAATAAAATACTTTTTTAATTTAAAAAAAAAAATCTCAAAACAATTTTAAGATAATTAGATTAAAAAAAAAAACCTAAACGAAAGAACAAACAATATCGTGCTTTTCTCCCAAGTTCAAAAGAGTAATTTCTAAAGAAAAAATCATAAAAACATTTTTTAGTGTTTTTTTTTTCCCTAATACTAAGTTAAAAGAGAATTTTCTAAAAAGAAGAAATCATAAAATAAAAATAAAAATTAATTCAATGAAAGATTAGTGTTTTTTTTTATTCAATATATTGGAGCTCCTTCTGAGTAAATTTCAGTGCAATGAAAGATTATGCACTGCATTTGATTTCACAATTATAATTCAACAGCATAAGTAAACATATCAAGCTACAGCTTTACATAGCATTGTGACAAATTACAGCTTTATAATGAAAAGAAACTAAACTAACAAGGAAAGCTGCAATGCTAACTCACCACAGAGTTATCGAGTTCACACTGGTTGAATTACTTTCTTTCAGCTTGACATAACTCGAGTACAAAATGTTAGAACTAAACTTGTTTCAGACCTGTTAAAAGTCACTGCATTCCTCCAGGTAGAAATGGATGATTCATGCATATTCACGACCGAATAAGAGAGGCTCATTATCTCATAGTTATTCTATTAATTTGTAACCTGTTGTCTTCTCTTCATTTTATATATAGTAGAGACTGGACAGCAAGACCTCCATCAGTTTGAGTATGCAAGTCCAGCTAAGCCTACCCTTCATTTTGATTGGATTGGCGTCTCATAATCCTTAAAGATTCTTAAAAGATCTATAATAACATATCTAGGGAATTCAATGCAGCATGTCTTTCTTTCATCTGCTTCAAAAGCTGCATGATGGCAAAATATACAGAGCAGGCATAAAATTCCAAAAACCTAGCCACAAATACCCACTGAGAACTGTAGGCGTATCCTTACAAGACCTTCACAACCTGATCATATATTGGCCATGTGTTGGAAATCAGGGGGACTGATTCCTGCAGACACCAGAACATGCACACAATCAGTTAATATCACCCGAAAGAGAACATAATTGAATTGTTAAATTAATCATAAAACAACATAGATTGTGAACATCTCAGATGTTAAGTAGACCTGAAACAAACATAAATAAATGCATCACAATAGTACTATTCCACACAATTTAAGAAGGTGATACAATATAGGTCCCAAATGATCAAGTAGACTCAACTTTGTTATATTGAATCTTACTATTGTGCCTACACTGAAACAATGTGTATCACAATTACACCACAATGACATTTTTTTTAGTTCTTCCATCAACCTCCGATCATTACATAACTGGATTTCGGGTGTGCCCATCAACGAGCTTCCATTTCCCCTTTTTGGTATTTCACTTTACATAGCCTACACCTCTTGGTATTTCTAGTTACATTCTCTAAGATGTATATAACTCAGGGCATTCGGTTTGCAGCAGGTTAATAAAGAAAATGATATCTCGGAAAAATGACGTTGTTGCCAATCTTAAGTAGCAAAGTAAATAAACAGATGCGGATATGATAAAGGATCAGCAAACTTCTGACTAACGATGCAAACAAAGTTCAAGTTATAGAAGTGATGAAAGTCTATCTTATTTATATGGCTTTTACATCCATTCAACTCTTCACTCTTTCCTAATGTCCATGGTTCTTTCCATATGTAATTAAGAGTTATCAACATTTTTCTATGTTGCTAGAAGCACAATTCTGCAGCATTGAACACATTGGTTATGAAGAGAAATTGGTTATGTGAACTAATCATTTATGTTAAGCTGCAACTTCCCTTAACTTTTTCATCTCCCAGAAAACAAAATATGCATATTCTCAGTTTTAAACATACCACAACTATTTTACTTGACAGACATTAAAACAAAGTAGTATATGCATGGTTATATGGACATGAAACTTGCAAAAGGAGAGTTACAGTTAAAGTTAGCCGAGGGTTGACTAGCCTGTCTGAGTTTTGATGGGCTTCTGTCCAACCAGGTTCATAAGCCTCAAGAAAACCGAGCTTTGCCTTATTAGGTAAATCATGGGGGTGGACAAATGGAACTCCAGGTGGCCATCCAATCTCCATTCGTATATTTGCACATGGGCTATCTAGGGTGTGAATGTGACTTTCACATTCCTTGAGATTACAAAACCGCAGCTTGATGCCTTTCTTATCTGCAATATCCTGGACCCTTTCTTTCAAAACTCTCTGCGCCTCAAGCCTTAACCTCTTGGAAGGAGGCAGAGGTTTGCTTTTAGGATTTTGCTTCCTCCTCCGCGTCAAGGTCTTCATAGATCCTGTACCAGCATTTCATCGATCCAAGGACCTGCTGTTAAAACTTTCCACTAAGGACTACTCTCAAAGAAGAATGACCCTAATTCAGTATCAATACAGTAAAACTCATGGAACAATGAATAAGTTTTCATGAAACACCAAATACGAACACTTAAGTCTAAATTCCAGGACATCTGGAAAAGAGAAGCTACAGTTCTGCCAGAAAAATAATCCAAGAGCAAAATTTATGAACGTTATTCCATTTAGTCATTACTTTGAGCTAAAAGTACTCCTTATATATATGAAAGAATCTAAATACAAACTGGTCAAGCAATAATAATATAATTTTAAATTTATCTTGCAACTCATCTTGAGGATGACTACTTTAGAACGTTTATAACATATACATCTGCGTTAATTATTAAAGATACATTGCAGTAAAAATATATACAAGATATATGTACTGTTTGCAAGCACCTTTAAGAACACCACCAATCATCAATTCAGAATGTTTAGTCCACTGTAAAAAATACGGAAGTCTCAAATGTTGACTAAAACAAATATCGAGCTCAGTACATGACTTAAATATAGTCATTTCCTTACATCCGTTAATCCATGGATAATATCGTTTTATTCATCACTTAACATAAGTTGGGAGCTGATACTTTGCAGGACAAAAAGATGAAGTTAGGTCAAACTTGACAGAGTTGGTTCTACCATGTGATTTAAAGAAATTAAAGAAGCTGGAACCTTTTATTTCAACCTTTTTTAATATTCTCTCTAGTATTCATTAGAATCGGGCAATATTGGTTTTATCAAATAAAGCAATAGGAGGAAACCGTCAAGCACTCATGTAGCGTGCAAGATGCCAAGATCCCTTACATAACAAAGGATAAACATGAAAAACAATAAATTCAACATTCTGCATAATCTTCTAGCAACCAAAGAACAATTTATTTTGCTCTGCCACTCCCCCCAGCCCAAAAAAAAAATAAAAAAATGTAGCATCAATTAGCCTTTCATGATTGGGGGAATGTAATAACCATGTTTTAGCCAGGGTTATCAATTGCGCGCAATCCCGCTACAAGAGCAGGTTGCGGACAGTGGCCACTACTGGCCACATCACAATGCAACAGGTAAGATTTGCAGCTATTGCGGCCAAATCACACAATGGGGAAATGACGTGGAATTCAAAGTTTGCCCTCGGCTTTAATTTCTAACAGCTATTTTTCATGAGTGTTTTTTTGTCTTTTAACCGGGTTTTAGTACGAAACCCTCAGCCCACCCCCTCTCTCTCCCCACTCTCAATCATATCCCTCTCATCTCTCTCGTGTCTCTGCATCTCTCTCTCTCTCTCTCTCTCATCTCTCTCATCGCTTAACGGTACCTATTCTACTATTGTACCCATTCTGACATTCTCTTGCTTTCTGCTATAATCTAATGAATGATATCAGGAAGAAAAGGGGCAAAAAAAGAATAGCCGAGAGAAGAAGGGGAATATTGGGAAGGAGAAGAGAGAAGTTTGGAATTTTCATCTGTTATCTTTCATCTTGTCCTTGGTCTTTCTCTTGCTATAGTTGGTCTGATAGTCAATTAGAAACTGAGGGATATGAAGCCCATTTCTGTCCTTGTTTTTTATGGGTGTCAAATTCTATTTTGGTATTTAAAACCAGAGAATAATAGGAGCTTTATTTTTAATTTTGCATGTCTAAATGAATGTCTTTATTTTTGAATATTTATATGCGTGATATATCTAGATTTTATTCCCCAACCTGCTATGGCGATATAGCGTTTTCGGGGTTGGTAGTAACCGTCTGCAATCCGCATTTGATAACTATGTTTTTAGCCCAATCTCATTTAAAAATAGAAAGATCCAACAGTTTGGAATGGTAATTATTTCGAAATTTTATTTTCATCAGAACTCTAGAAAGCTTACAGCTATTGACATAGGCATCTTTCTAAATTAAGCATGTTCTTAAATCAAGTTTTGAAGAATATAAACAAGCAACCTATATAACAAATCAGATTCCAGATAATTAGAATGCTACATACCATCATGTGTTGGTTGGAAATTGAAGCACTGGAAACCGGGCCTGTTAAAGAGATGATCAGTTGGATGGGATCTTTGCATAAAATCATCTACTGGAACAGGAAGCTGGAATTGAGCTTCGATTCCATAACCTGCCGCTCTCATTTCTGAACAATCAAGACTGGTCATTGATTTAGGCAAAAGTTTGAAGGCTAAAGAACACCGTCCATACATATTAGCCTCCATATTAATCTCAGTTTTGTGCAATGCAGGGCTTACATATCCTGCAGTTGCTTGATACAGAGCAAGCCCAGGATAAACAATAGCTTCTTGTGGGCCCAGATCTCCATCCACAAGAATCCACCGACCTTGAAAGTCTCTTACATGTAAACCTGCCCTGTCAGACTTAACAAGAGATATCAAGCTTTTATCAACTTGGTGATCATGGTCAGGATACATAATCAAATGGCCATCCTCCGGAGTAGCTATATTATGATGTTGCGGCCCCTGAAATGATGGCCTAGCATGACAGCAAACAGACAAGACTGAAGATGAAATTTCCCGATTTCTCAGGGGAATATTATCCAGTATTTCTGCGAATGGAGAGCTGCGCAAATTCAAATGGAAGCTAATTGCATCCAGAATATCCCTTGCTGCTTTTCCAAATGAAGCAAATATATCTGGCAAACCTGCCGGAGGGAACTCAATTGAGTTGTTTGGCTCTGAAGGAGTCAAGCCTGGTCTATAATCATAGGTTTCATGCCACAAATGAGGATCTGCATAATAACCAGATGTTTTGCACCACTCGCGAGACTCACTAGTATGGATTATATCCGCAGGTGGAAACGTTTCTCTTTGATGGAAATAGAGACGGGCAGATTCTAAACCAGATCTTAGAAGAGCCCCATCACTTGCCGGAAACTGGATAATGACGGCTGAAAACTGAGCCAGAGATTGCGACAAAATTGAAACCGATATTTTATAGGAATCGGATGGTAACCCTTCCGAAGGAACCAAATCAGTGAGCTTCACACGACCCAAAGACTGCAGGCCACCGCCTGCCATGAAATCCCTTAGTCTGCTTGCTACCTTAGTCTAGATAGGTGGAACCAACTAAACTGTCAGCACAGATGAAAAGCAACAAATCTCAGAACAGAAGCATATTCCCAAAGCACCATGTTGAAAGTTAAATTTGTGACTGTAACAATTGCACTAAAAGCATTATCATTCAAGGGATATTCTGGATGATCTGGGAGCTAAACCATCATATCAGTCCTCAAATTATAACAAGATGGTGCAAACAGAGAACATTAAATTTGAGTTCAAGTAAAGGCAAACAAAATAACAGGTTCTCAAATCTGGATAGGGTCCAAGTTCCCAATGTCACATTTGTATATAGGAGCTGAAGCTGAACTACATCAATAATAATCAGAAGAATATTTAAAATTGAATCAATTCCAATAAAAATGGAAATTGATTAAGCTCAAAGTTTTTGAGTAAAAAAAAGATATTGGCAAACAATTAACTTTCATGCTTCAAATATTCAATAAAATTATATGATAAAATAAGTAAAGACCATAAATAGAGGAAAGGAAGGAAAAAAAAAATTAATAATTTTGTGAAAAACCAAACTTTACCTTGTTGCGTTTGCCATTTTCATTCTGTAAATATTCAAAGCTGTGGGAAGCGCGAACGATTTCAACTTGTTCTCTTTGGAAGCATCGATTGGAAATTAGGAGAAAATCGCGAATAGAGAGAGAGAGAGAGAGAGAGAGAGAGAGAGAGAGAGACCAATTTGGAAATGAAACTTAAAAATCGAAACCTAAACAAAAATTACACAATTGAGAGAGAGAGAGAGAGAGAGAGAGAGGGAGAGAGAGATGGTGACAGATGTGGATATGGATCGGGTCGAGAAATAGGTCCATTGACGCAATTGTGGACTTCACTGTGTGGGGCTATTTGGATCCGAAACATAACAATTTTCTTAATTTTTGTTTTTTGTATTTTTATTGGGCAAATAATTTTTGCTTCAAAAAGCAGACAAAATTCTTTCTCTCTGCTGCTTAAACAAAATAATAGAGGGAGAAAGCATAAATTTTATGTTTCAGTGGCAGAGAATTTCATGTGCTTTTGAACATTTGTCTTTTTTTCTTTAAACGAGCAAAGCATAAACTAATGGGGTTTGATTTTTTCATGTTGCATGAGAATTTAATTCTCATGTTATGATTCAACTAGTAGTGGATCCCATATTTATTAAAAAAAAAACCATTTGCACGCAAATCGAAGGGTCACAACATGAGAATTGAATTCTCATGCAACATGAACAAATGTTTTCCCTAAACTAATATAAGTGACACCAATTAAAAATAGGATGTAACTAGTTATTTACCCGTGCGCTGCACGGAGGGAAAAAAATTTCAGTCAGTTGTCGACCGAATCTTGTCGCATCCTTCTAAATGAATTGACGTTTAATAAAAATTATTAACTTATATAACTATAGGTACGGGAATTGTTATCACATAAACAATCAGCCAAAATATTACACATATATAAGATGTTCGACAAAATATGAAATGACTACTTAAAAATTATCAGTTTCAATTATGTAGTAAAACAAAACATTAAAAATCAGAAAATTTCGTTGGACAAAATAACTCACTTTGGTTGGTCATCACTCCAATGTTTTTGGCAGTTATTACAAAACAATCTGTCAAAATCTTCACAAACATAATAGAAGCATTTCTTATAGGATTTGTACCACCAATTGAATTTACTTCCAATTGCTTTGATGGTTCCGTAAGCAATGCACATCATAATCTGAAAAAAGAAAAATATATATATAACATTAACGACATTTAAAAATATATAAAAATAATTAAAAAATATAGCATAACTTTATCCGGAATCATAAGTAAAAAAAATCAAAAGGACATGCACAAAATTAAAAAAAATAAAAAGATTCTTTCATCATAAATGCATTCAAGTTTGTGAACTGCAAAAAGAAATCAAATCAACTACACTAACCTTTGAAATACTTCTTTATAGACAATGTTATAGGTACTATTTGCAACACAACCATTATCATCAAATATAAGAATCTTCAATCCTTGTTTGCTCTTTACTCTTGATAGCGCCACATATAATTGTCCATGAGTAAAAACAGGTCTAGGAAGATAAATTCCAACATGAGAAAGCGATTGTCCTTGACTCTTATTGATAGTCATTGCAAATGAAACCACCAAGGGAAATTGTCTTATTTGGAAATTTATAGGAAACGTATGAGAAGACGGGTTGACAGTGAGCCTAGGGATTAAGACAGTTTCTCCTATATTGCATCCTGTAAGAACAGTTGCCTCAACAACATGGTTGCCTAATCTAGAAATAAGCAGTCTTGTGCCGTTACATAACCCCTTTGATTGATCAATGTTTCTCTAAAGCATAACCGGCACATTAACCTTTAAAGTTAATTTATGATCAGGAAGTCCGGAACATGAGAAGGTATTTAAAATCTCAGGAGAGAATTCAACATCCTCTAGCTCAGAATTTCCATCTTGCTTCAAAACATTATCTGAACTGAAATATGTTCGTTCTTCACCCGGAATAAAACTCATAAGCCGCTCGTTTAAGATAGCAACATCTGCCAATTTAGGAGTCAAAATGGCACGTTCTTTGAAAAAAGCAGGATCAAAAATATGATTCAAGATATTCGGATACACAAAATCAACCAAATCTGAAAGTGGATCTTCTGATTCTTTGATCAATAGTGCATCTGGAATTGTTATAATAGATTCCCCGTCCACATCATCTCCAAGATCACCATATCCTATTTTAAGAAGCCATTCAGAGAATTCTTTTATTTCCATTAAATTTTGATTACTATTTCCTGAAGTTAGGCGCATGTTTTTGGTCAGAGTCAATAGATTACAATGCGGCCAAATATGAGACGAATTAATAGTGGCATGAACTATATCTTGTCTGCTACCATGAGGAATCACAGGTAAAATCTGTCGGAAATCACCTCCTAAAACAACAACTTTTCCACCAAATGGATTATCACAGAAACTCGGATTAGAAAATCTAAGAACATCTCTAAGTGTTCTATCAAGAGCCTCAAAGCAAAATATGTATACCATTGGGGCCTCATCCCAAATAATTAAGCTTGTTTTCGACAACAACTCAGAAAGAGTAGAATTTTGGCTTATGTTACACGTTGAATCTTTGTTGATCTAAATAGGAATACAAAATCTGGAATGTGTTGTACGTCCTCCAGGCAACAAAAGGGAAGCAATTCCGCTCGAAGCAACATTTAGTACAATTTTTCCATTTGATCTAACAGATGCAGACAAAGTATTCCAAATAAATGTTTTTCCTGTGCCTCCAAACCCATAAAGAAAGAAAAACCCCCATGTGCCTCGGGAAACCGCTGAAATGATCTTCTCGTAGACATCTTTCTGCTCCATCAGTTAGGGAATGTAATAATCTCTTATGTTCTTCTATAAAAAATAACCTGTCATACGATAACTCATCAAGCACCAATCTATTTTGTATATCCAGTAATGATTCCATCATTATGCGAGGCATTGACGGGTAATCTGATAGAGATCTATCGTTGCTCTGCAGTACTTTGTCTATTTCAGCAAGTGTAGAATTTATTATACAATCTTCTGGAAGAGATGCATCTAAACAAAGAATAAAACATAATACTAAGAAATTGAATTACTAACAAAAGAAAAAATTAAAAAAAAAATATTAACTTCAAGATGCGTTATAATATATATGAAATTCAAAATGACTTATTCTATGAACGGACTTTTTATAATGAATTAAAAAAAGAGGAGGTTAATATTTTTGAATTTAAGAAAGTATAATTAATTTTTAAAATGACAAATAAAACTCTCTCACCATTGAGATCCGAGAAACAACAATGATATATTGTAAGGAGCCTAAAAAAATGTTAAAATTTTTTATAATAAATTTAATTCAATGTGAAGTAACAGACTTAAACAGTAACATCAATAATAAAAAATAATGTTTTATTTACAAAGGTTACAATATTTTTAAGATTAACATTTATTTCAACTTAAAGTAACAACTTATTTTCAGTATCAACAATAATAACTGAAAATGTTTTAAATTTTTAATAAAAAAGAAAGGTGAAATAATTTATAAAATTTTAATTTTTTTGAACTCAAAGCAAACAGATAATAATGTTGGACTTTATACATACAGTAACATGAAAGTATATGTCATTCTTGAAGTAATCAACATGAAAAACATATCTCTTGTTGCAGTAAAACACTGGTCTTTAGAAATAATGCATGAAAATTGATATAAGCACATACATGAACATCCGATATTTTTCCTTTGTAGATATAAGATATCGTCAGAGAGGAATTTCCAAGACTTTTCCCAAACAAATTCAGGTCTAGTCATTGAATTGCTAAATAAAAGAAGAGAAAACAGATTACGAAGATAAGAAGATGACCCCCATGAACTTGCCTCTTTAATAACATCGATATACTCTCTGTCATCATCCAAAAGACCCAGAAAATAGCATGCATCCTTAAATGAAGGAAAAAGCACACCATTAATTGTTCTCAAATCATAATAGCTCGTACAACCTTTCTGAAAAGTAAGAAGCATCCGAAGATATGAATCTTCTCCATTATTAGCTGAGAAACGATTTATTCTACCGATTGAAAATCCTTTTTTTCTAGGGTGCCATTCTTGGGTATCTTCTTTATAAACAAAATGGGTTGGATACTCAGCATAAGTTAGATGTCTTCCTTCTGGATATTTTTTGTTTGCTTCCATCCAAGCCTCAAAAATCGACCTCCTGGACTCAGCTCTTGTCTTAACATCAGATATTGATGCATTATCCCGGAAAACAACATTCTTTGCATTAGGTAAGTGAAATGACAATCTCTGAACAGGCGGATATCTAAAATGAATATCAAAGCCAAAAATTCTCCAAGAAGCCTCGCATGCAGACACATACCTATAATAAAAGAAGAAATTTATTCCAAAGAAAGGAAAAAAAAATCATAATTCAGTTCAAATAAGCGAAAAAAATCACACATTCATATATTTGAAATTCACTACCTGCAATCATAAAACATTTGAATTTCATCATTTTTTCGAGATGCGTCAAGAGTTGGATCTGAATGTTTTATAGCAGCTGTCACGCGATCATTTCCTTTATGGATGTATTTAAAAAGATATTTAATAGCACTGGTCTGACAGGTGTATTCAACATTTATATGAGCTTGATATTTTAAAAGAAGGTTTGCATTGTAACGCACAACAGAACGATTATCTAGCTCCACACCGTTCCTAATAACAAATCTCCCATTATTTCTTCTTTTATAATGAGGGAATCCATCATCGTCAATAATTGTATGGGAGTTGAATTTTTTGGGAAATTTCTTTGAACATTTTCCCTCTTTCATGCAAGGAGATTTGTAATTATTAGGACCACATAGACCGTGCATCATATAACTTGTTACAGCTGCAAATAATGAAGGATCAGAATCTTTATCAGGAATCTCCGCAGAAATCAATTTGTCAATATCGAGAGCATTTTCTGGCTTGTTAGAGGAATGCAAGAACAGTAGAATATGAGATGAGGCAACCCACGTTTTTGAAACTCAATTGTACAAACATCTGTTAATTTCAAGCAAAACAAACGACAATAATTTGTATTAAAAAACGTAAAAAAAATAATGCAGAGAATCATAGACAGAGAATCATTAACAGGATCTGCACTTTCACATGTCTGACTCGCAACATCCTGCCGAAAAAAATATATATTATGGGATGATGAAAATCAAGATTGATAAGAATGCATAAAAATATTTAAAGTTAATTTATTTAACTTACCGCAGCTCTTCCATTTTCAGCAGCAACAATGTCATTGTCGAAAGCTTGATCAAACAGAGTTTCATCCTGTGATTGTTTGGTAGAAGAAAAGGAAGATATAAAAGAAAAATGTATGCAAGGCAACTATATGAAAGAAGCGACAAACACAAAACAAAAAAAAAAGTACATTTAATTCTGTTGCAGACTTGATGAAGGAAGACATAATAGTTTCGTCGGTGCAAACTTTAGAAACTTGATATTTAGGCTCATTGTATGAGTCAAAATTGTTTTTTCTAACATTAATCTTGAACAGCATGGACTTGTCAATAAGAACATCAAATTCTTTTGGATAATGTTCCAAATCAGCACCCTAGAAAAAACGAAAAAAAGAAGAAGATTCCAACCAATAAAAATATCAGAATTTAGAACTAATTAATATGACAACAGTTGATGAACACAGCGTTGGGCAAAAATAGAATACCAACCCTCTTGTATTGCAATTCACGCAAATCAGAAGCACTCATACCCAACAAAGTAACACAATCTCTATCAAAGAGAATGAATGATGCAGAATCGGTATTATCAACAACTCTGACTTGAACACTGAATCTATAATATAATAATTATTATTATCAGCGTCAATTACGTAGTATAAGAAAACATTAAAAATCAAAATAATCTCACCTTGGTTGATAATCACTCCAATGTTTTTGGCAGTTTTTACAAAACCATTTCTCATAATCTTCAAAAACAGAATACGGGCATTTCTTACAGGATTTGTACCACCAGTTGTATTTACTCTCAATTGCTTTGATAGTTCCGTAAGCAATACACGTCATAACCTGAAAAAAAAATATAACATTAACGACAATTAAAAATAAATAAAAATAATTTAAAAAAGATAGCATAACTTTATCCCAATCACAAATATTCACCTCGGTAGAAATTTTAATATCAGTAATACACTTTCTTTCTGTATTTTTAAGAAAATCATTCTCAAAGGAATATGTCGATTGAGTAGACAACTGGGACAATCCACGAATACAATCCGCTGAAACATTTCCAAGCCTAAAAGAAAACAAACGTAACATATAAATTACGAATCCAAACATACAAAAATTTCATAACAGAACTTATACTGAATAATAGAGTTGCAACGGTCATAAAAAATATTTCTTACTGTTTCTTGAATTCAATAATTTATGTTACATTCGAATCCATAATGAGACGCGTTGTATATCTTGTATTAGTTATTGACTTTTGACCTACACAATTAAAAGAGAGAAAAAAACGGAAAGAGCTACCGTTAAAAAAAAAGTAATAGAAGGAGACAGACAAAATAGATATTTATGAAGACAAATACCTCTGAAATCCTTCATCTTTGCAAGATGAACTATTATAACATTCTGAGAAGCCTGATTATTTGCCAAAAAACTCTGCACTTCATCAACATAATGCTCCCACAATGTGCATTCAAGTTTGTGACCTCTTTTTTTTCGCAGAGGTTTTTAAAAAAATATACACAACTCATTACGGACATCAATTTACCACACATAAAATAAATTACACATTACACATACGTTATTCAAAATCGTTACAACAAAAAAATACCTGCGGTTGTCAAGCTCCAGCACAATTTTTTTTGCTTTCCTACCAAACACATCATGCTCTTCAACTTCGCTAGTTCCAGTCAGTAAACCGATGAAATCTACAGAAAAAATAATTCAGATTAATGAAAACAATTTTTTCCAAGTAAATAAATTATTTAAAAAAATAACAAAAGAATACATTACCCAATAAATAAGGAGAGACCGTTTTTTGCTGTATAATAAAATCAAACTCGACAAAATTGAAACAATTGACAGGTATGGTAGCATCAACAATGGCCTTCACATCTGTCCTCAAGTTGAAAGAAATTTTGTAAACATGCCTAGTTGCCTTGAAACCTTCACCATTCAATCCAACTCCAAAATTTCTAATAAAGTACGCTTCCCCTTCTATAATTTTTTTTCTAACTTGCAAAGTCCCTCTGACAGTAGCATGGATCGTAGAACCCTACATAATTCAAACATAAATTAGCAAGAAGAATCGAAGAATTAGAAAAAAAGAGAATAAAATATAAAAATAAGTTTGCAACATAAAAAAAAAAATACATGTTCATATGTCAGAATCATCTCCAGATTGTCATCAAATCCCTTTTTCTCATAATTAGGGACCTTCCAAGTCCTAATGGCCCTAACCTTAATCCTCCAATCATCCTTAGAGGAATTTAGATATTTTATAAAATCGTATTTTGAAAACATGACTAAAGCAGCAAGTAGAAGAAGGGAATAACAACGAATGATAATAAGAAGGAAAGAAAAATGCAAGATACTGAAGAAGATGAATGAGTCGACCAGAGAAAAATGGAGGAGGTTTCATGTAAAAAATGATAACAATGGGGAGAGAAGGTATTAGAAGTCTGAGAGAGACATTGGGACATTCAAAACATTGAATAATTACTTTCAGTTTCCAATGGGGTACAACAGTAGTAATTATTACGTTCATCAATTACCAATGAAAGAAATAGGTGGGATTTTAATTGGATGTCTGCCACTAATATATTTTCGGACTTACAAATATTTTTATTCTGTATTTATTTGTTTAATTTTCGAAATTCAAATTTCAAATGTCTACCAAAACAGGAAACTTTTTAAATTGTTGTAGGTGTGAACACAAACCTCAGATTCAAGGAGAATGCGACACATCATCAGAGTTTCCAATAAACGGTTTTACTTTAGAATAATATAGATGTTTCTCTAAGAGATACAAATTATTTTTTACATACCCACAAAAATATGTGAGATCCTTATTTTTTTTCTCTCCTTTGCATATGGTCTCATATGGGCCCCACACGTTTTTAAATGTGTTGGAGATAATATTACATTATCCACTACAACAAAAATACTACCCTTTGAATAAAACTGGTTACCAAGTAAGTATTACCACAAATATATAAAGGGACTAAAGTTTTCTGTCACAAGAGATAAATGGTGTGCATAACAACTATTCTATTCCTGGAACTGTTTCTGAAAAGAAATAATTCTATATATTTTAATAAAATTCATAATTCAAGAGAAAAGTAATTTTAAAAAAAAAACCCTTTGTTTTTATCCTAAATCCCAAAACAATGTCGTTTTGAGATTATAAGATATAACTTTATGAAGAAATATTTTTGCCCTATATAAATATGGGAATTCGAGATGTCAAAATGGGTTGACACGACACAAATACAACAACACTAACACGACACGAATTTTTATTCGTGTCAAAATCTTCAACACTGACACATCACAGATTTTTGCGAGTTGACATAACACGACACGAATAACACGCAAAATAAAGGTCAGAACGGTAATTGACAAAAAAATTAAAAAAAATGGTTCAAAATTAAAAAATAATAATAAAAAATAAAAAATAAAATAATTTAAAAAAAATATGGGTCGACACGAACACGAATACTTAAACACGAACACGACACAAATTTTTTACGTGTCATTTTTCCTAACGCGAACACGACACGATTTTTTTTACGGGTCAACCCGAACACGAATTTTCGTGTCGTGTCGCGGGTCGACTCACGTGTCATAACCTATATTGACACACCTAATGGGAATATAAGAATCGAGTTTGTATAATTCTATTACTAGTTTCACTTTGATTTATATTCAAAATTTAGGAAAGTACTAAAATAGAATAAAAAACTAAGAGCTAGTTTGGGAGCTCTTATCTTCTCATAAGTATAAGTTAAGTCAAATAGATTTTCACAAAAGCTCTTATAATAAAAAAAATTGAAATTTTTTTTTTAAGCTCTTGTCAGATTTGCTTAAAACGAAACATTAAGATTGAGTTTAGAGCTATGAAGCACCAACACTGCAAAAACTCTGACGTGTCGTGTCCGACAGTCCCCGACACTCCAACTCGTATTATAAAAATTCAAAAAAAAAATTAAAGGTTGTGTTGCGTTGAGTTTTTAGTTCCAACTATTAGATTCGTTGGATTACGATTACCATTTTATTGAGTTTAATATAAATATTTGGGATATCTTATGTTTCTTTGCAAAATTGATGAATATTATAAGTTTAGTTTCATTTTTTGTTAAATTATTGAATAATAAATATAATATACACAACATAAATTAAAAATATTATTTAATAGTAAAACGTGTCCTAACGTGTCGAAATCTAACATTTTTTAAAATTAACGTGTCGGAGTGTCGTGTTGTATCGTATCGTGCCACTTGTCCCGTGTCGGTGTCGGTGCTACATAGGTTTAGAGTCCATTCGATTTTGGAGCGTTGCATATAGTTTTAATCATCCTCACCCTCTCTTTCTCTACCATTCAGATCTCTTTCGGCTTCACTCCGTTCGTTCTCGAAGGTACACTCTCTCTGCTACTACTTGGTCTTCATGCGTTAAAGCCACATTATTTTCTGTTTATCTAAGCTATTTTTCTCTTACTTTCACTTGTTATCTTTCATTCGCTTTTACTATAGTTGAATTTTCTTTTGCTATATTGTGCTCGTCGTCGCTACTAGAGTTGTCAGCGCTGTCATCGATGTCTCTGCCCCCGTGTCTGTCTCGCAAAGTCGATCTTCCTCCATTTTTTGTGTATGTTTTCTATGCATTCATATCGTTCACTATAATCGTAGTTGTGGGTTCAGTTTATCACGTTACTAATTCTTCACCTTTTATTTGCATTTGTTGTTTTTCTGTTTCATTCTTTATCATTTTCCAGTCAATCTCTTCAAACGAAATCATTAGATTTTGCTATGGAATAAAGGAGTTTTGGGTTGATTAGAACCAGTGGCGGACCCAGATAAAATAATTCATGTCCGTACTGCCCCCGAAATTTTTTTTTGATATAACTTTCACATGGAGGAGTTACTTATCAATGCTCCTGCATTGATAAGAATGATATAACATTTCCCAACAAAACCAGCCTACCCTGATTTGTCATAAGCAGCCCAATGATTTTACAGACAAATACTTAGCAACCCGGACTAAGAATGTCAAGAAAGAAGGAAAACATATAGGGTGAATAGCAACTCTAGGTAGATAGAAACATAAACTAGTAAAAATGATGCATAAATTAAATGTTACCAGTGAAGCAAGTATCAAGCCATCCTATCTCTTCAGGTACTACCTGAAAAATAGTATACATCAGGATTAGTGACATTTAATTTCAATACAAAAAAGATATTTAACATCTGCATTGGCATAATTAACAGTAACTAACCTCCATGAAAAGCTGGTACACTAAAATGGAGGAAAATGCAATAAAGTTCCAAAGTGGCCAAACTAAATAATATAAACAAGAAAAGAAAATAATCAAGAGTAAACTAAGCTATTACAATAGAACGATTACAAAAACATTCTTCGATTCTTCATTGCTTGAAAATATTGCATTATATCTTTATCATCAATCTTCTCAAATTTATCACTTCAACATAAGTTAGCATGCATGCGTTAAACCAATCATCACTTATCCGATTGCGCAACTTATCCTTGACAAAAGTCATTGCAGAAAAAAAATCGCTCAACACTAGCAGTTGTTACCGGTAGAAGGAGTGCCAACTTTATCAACAAATAGACCATTGGATAAACAATATTCTTTCTCTTCTCAACCATCTTCAAAGCAAGGTCAGATAAGCGAGACTAGACTACCTTCACTAAATCAATTGCATTTAAAAAGTCTTGATCTTTTCTTTGTAGTGCTTGTGACAACTCATAAGAAATCCCCAAGATAAGTTGCATAAGATGCAACAAGAATGCAAACTCAAAATCCTCCATAGCATACAAAATACAACCTGCATCAGTTCTTGCAGCATCATTCTTAGGCTCGTCTTCAATATTTTTCATCAAGGACATTATTGGAGAAAATAATGAGATAACACTTGTAACTGAACCAAAATGGGAACCCCAACGAGTGTCTGCAGGTCACTTTAATGTTGTCTCTTGATTTAAACCTTTTCCAGTTGGTATTTCACCGCGAGCAATTCTTTCAACTATTTGCTCATATTGATTCATTTGAAGAATTTCTTTCTGTTTGCATGAACCCCCCACAACGGTAGCCATCTTTTGAAGCATGTCAAAAATTTCTTGAATCTTCTTGTAATGTTTTGCAACCTTCATAAGTGCCAATTGTAACTGATGAGCAAAACAATGAATGTAGAATGCAGATTTGTTATCTGCCAAAATCAAACTCTTAAGCCCTTTGAATTCACCTCGCTTATTACTAGCACCATCATAGCCTTAACCGCGACATTTAGACAAACTTAAACCAAGTTTAGAAAACAACCCATCAATTGCAGCTTTTAATGATTGTGCAGTAGTATCTGAAACATGAATTATGCCAGTAAAAAATTCAACAATGGACCCCTTTTTATTTACATACCGAAGTACAACTGCCATTTGTTCTTTAATTGCAACATCACGAGCTTCATCAACTAGCAACGAAAAGTAATCATCATCGAGATCACTAATTATTGCTTTAACAGTCAAATCAGAACAAGCTTGAGCAAGATCTTTCTGAATTTTTGGTGAAGTCAATTTGTGATTTGCAAGACCACATGACTCATCTCTTTATTTGGCTTAGTATAAAACTTTAGAGTTTCAAGAAATAAACCTTATTGTGCCCTGAAGTAAAGAAGAATAATAGGATGAAGAAGGGTTTGTTTATGGGGTCTTTAAAATAAAGAAGAATAATGGGCTTAGGCGAGATATTATTAAAATTCAGGGCACAGTGACTAAGGGCGTAGGCTTATGTAACCTAGTCTACATATATGGCGTATTGGATTCTTGTTCTGCTATTATCTTTTACTTGGGCAAGTCACTAAGATCTAAGGCACCTGCACCCTTCAGATTCATTCAAATCGCTATTGAATCCTGTGTGTTGATGTCCTTTTGGTTTAAATAATATATATACACGTGCATTGTCCCTTTTAATTAATAACAATTTAGTACCAGATACACCCACAATTATTTGGGCTTCTGTATCATAAAGAAAAGTCATCTTCCATTAGCAAGTAGTATTTAATTTGAGAAGTACTATTTAATTAGTACTTCTGGATCACAATGTCAAGGAGTACTATTTAATTTGAGAAGGTAGCTTGTAATTAGCAAGTAATTAGAGACTAGTTATAATCCTAGACCTTACAGGACTCATTTGATCCTATGATTTGCTTCATGAGTATTATCTCCTAAACATTAATACTCTATAGTTGAAGTAAATGCAAGAGCTAATCGAGTTCTAGTAACAGTGTCTTAACAGATTATGAATTAGCATTCATATCATCTTTGACGACTTAATCAGAAAAGTGGTTCACCAAGAAAAGTCACAAAATGTTTACTCCCAATTTATCATGTACCAGCAACAGCAACTACTTTTGCATTAAAATAAAATACAGAAGAGTGGCATAAATTTACTCCTTACAAAACTGAAAAAATTTGCTTACCTTGACAGTAACTTCTACCTTGTAAGGCCTGCTACCACCCCATATGATCAAGCAAAACACAGAGAAGACAACCACAAAAAAAAAACAGCAATCAAGGCTTGGAAGCGCCTAGTGAAAGCCTTGTCCTCAAATTCATGATAAGACCCTTCTTCAAGATTCACGTCACACTCAGGACCAACACCAATAATATCCTGAAAATGCCTTATTTTTATGAAATTCTGAGCAAAAATTGCATGCAACAAACTAAACAGAAGAAACAAGTATTTTGGGGGAATAAAAACCATACCTTTGAACATTTCTGACTTCTGAGGGTCTGGTTCAGTGGCGGACCTCAACGATTCCTATGGTGGTGTTTTTGTTGTGCTTCCCTGTTGTTGTCGTCCTTGTACTTCAATCTTCATGGTTGATTGAAGGAGAAGGAGCCAAGGGTTTTTTTTAATCAGCTTCTGTCTTCAGATAAGATAGATAGAAGAACCCAAGTACCCAACGACAATTGCAAACTCAAAAAAAAAATTGAGATTTTTTTTTCAGATTTTTATGTCCGCAAGTGCGGTCACGTGCGCCAATCTACGTCCGCCACTGATTAGAACCAAGATTGAACTAGTTATTTCCATTGAAGCTTTGATTGTTTTAGTGTGAGATCTTGAAATCTTGTTATCGTTTAGTTCAATCTAGCCTTAACTAGCCAAATTTCAAGGCTATAAGTGTTGTAAATTTAAAGAAAAATGAAGAATAATAGATGAAGAAACTTTTGTATTAGAATTGGCTAAAAAAGAAAAAAATTACAAGAAGACACTCTTTGATCTCACATTCAATCTCTCCTTTCTTTTTTCTCTTTCTAAGTGCCACGACACTTTCTTTCTACTCTCGGGTACTCTGCTTTTCTTTTTTCACTAATACACACCTAAACATACATGAATATATATAGGCTGCGACTACCAACTTGTGTTGTCTTCTCTTCCACTACCGACTTGTCCTGTCTTATCTTTCTTTTTTTATTATTTATTTAATTCTGAATTGTTTGTCGGCAACCAAAAGTTGTTTTGCCATTGGCAACTCATCATAACTGGAAACATCAAGAATAGCGGTAGAAGATACCAGCCTTGTAGATAGTAGGCTCTTCTAGTAGATGGCGGAAGAACTTGTTTTTATCAAGTCTTGTAGATTCTTCTCGTATGGCGGTGGGTCGATGATGAGTGCAAAGTCAAAGTTTGATTTTTAACACTCCTCCTCAAATTTGACTTTGCAGGTTAATCATATGTTTGAGTTTGTTGAACATATTGGTCTTCAATGGTTTCGTAAAAATATCTGCCAATTGTTCTTCAGTTTTGCAGTAGACTAATTTCACAAATTTGTTTTTAACTTGCTCCGGAATAAAATGATATTTCATGTCAATATGCTTGCTTTGGCTATGGGAGACTGGATTCTTCGCAAGTGATATAGCAAACTTGTTATCTACGTATATAGTAATTGGACCTTCTTGCTCATAATGAAATTCATTCAAAATATTTTTTAACCAAATCGCTTGACACGTGCACGCTGTTGCGGCTATGTATTCAGCTTCGCATGATGATAAAGCAATTGTCTGTTGTCGCTTTGACGACCATGAAACAATTGTTGAGCCAATATGAAAAACATATCCTGAAGTACTTTTTCGATCATCTACATGTCCATTATATTCACTATCTGCATAGCCAATTAACCTTGAATCTTGGGAATGCGTATAGAATAATCCATGAATGATGGTTCCTTTGATATATCTTAAAATTCTCTTTGCTACATTTTTCTCCTTTATCATCTAACTTCTTCCTCTTCTGATCTGGAATATGAGCATATGTTATGCAACCAAAAATTCTTCGATAGCTCACCTCTGGCTTTCTACCACTCCATGCTTCATTTGGTGTCTTGAACTTGACACTCTTTGTTGGACATCGATTCAATAGATAGACAGCACTTTGAACTGCTTCGGCCCAAAACATTCGCTTTCCCTTAATCATGATCCTCGCCATATCAAGAATTGTGTAATTTTTCCTTTTCGCAATTCCATTTTGTTGTGGCGTGTAGGCAGCTGTCAATTGATGAATTATTTCATGTGCCCTGCAAAATGCTTCAAATAATCTGGAAGTATATTCACCTCCTCTATCTGTTCTGAGCACCTTTAGATACTGTCCACTTTGTTTTTCGGCCATTACTTTATATTCCTTGAATTTATCAAGGGCTTATGATTTTTCTATGAGAATATATACCCAAGCTTTTCTACTGAAATCGTCAATAAAAGTAATATAGTACATGTTTCCTCAAAGAGATGGAATATCAAATGGACCAGCTATATCTGAGTGAACTGGTTGCTGTGGTCTTTTTGCTCTCCGTGATTTGCCAACTTGAAAGCTTTGTCTATGTTGCTTTCCTCTCATGCATCCTTCACACAGCTGAACTAGTTGATTTATTATTGGTAATCCATTTACCATCTTCGCTTTTGATAGCAGCTTTAGGCCAGTGAATCCAAGATGACCAAATCTGAGATGCCATAATCACAAACTATCTTCTATGATGGTCTTCATGCACTTTATTGCACTAGTCTGGATGTTTAGCTCGAATAGATGATTTCTTGTTATATCAACTTTCGAAATCAATTGTCCTTTCTGATTTCTCATGATGAGAGAAATACTCTTCAAATGTATATCATATCTTTCTTCTATAAGCTGACTAAGACTGAGGAGATTGCTTTTCAAAGATGGTATATAATAGATATCTGAAATGTATTTGCATTTTCTATCTCTAATCTTTGTGAATATCATAATCTTACCTTTGCCTTTAACTGGAATCTTTGATAGATAACCAAATGTAACTTCTCCTTGGACTTCCTCATTCAGCTCTGTGAATAACTCCTTTTGCCACACATGTGATTGCTAGCTCCAGTATCAAGGTACCAATCATCTTTCTCACTATCTTCCTCGCCTTTGTAAGTGAACAACATGATCGGTTCATCATTTTTCTCTACATTTGCTGTATAATGACTTCTCTCCGCAACTTTAGCAACATCTCTACACTCATAGCCGAGATGATCATATCTATTGCAATTACAACACTGCAAGTGAGATTTATCACCTCTTTGTTGAAATTTTCCTACTCCTCGGGTCACGAAACCACGAACTCGACCATGATTATATGCTCCTTGATCACGTCCATATGCTGCTGCATCAATTTGAAATCTTCTATTTGTTTGACTATATCCATCGCGTATGCCACGACCACCTCGAGTGTTGAATCCACCTCAGGTGTTTAAGTCTCCTCTATATCTACCACAATTTCCTCTGCCACGTCCATAGTTGCTGCTGCTGGCATGATTTACATCAAGAGATAACTTACTTTGCAAAGCTTGCTCCAATTTGCTAGAACCTTCATTAAGATTCATTCTTTGCTCGTGAGCTTGAAGAGAATCCACAAGCTCATCAATAGATATAAATGACAAGTCTTTGGCTTCTTCAATGACAATGACAGTGACAATATAATTGAAATTTCTTGTTAGTGACCGTAGAATTTTCTCCATTACTCGGACATCATCTAAAATCTCTCCATTTCTTTTTATCTTTTTGGCCACCTTTTGCACTCGTGGGAATAATCTATAACTGGCTTTGTATTCTACATTTTAAGTTTTCTAACTCAACTCTAAGTGATTGGAGTCGTACCTTTTTAGCTTTGTCAACTCCCAGGCAAGACTTGTGTAAAATCTCCCATGCTTCCTTGGATGATTTTACATCTGATATTTTCTCAAAGGTTGATTCATCAACACCTTAAAAAATTAAGAAAAGAGTCTTCTTGTCCTTCTTCCGTAACTCCTTAAGGATCTTTTTCTGAGCATCTAATAAAACTGCTTCAGCAACTGCATTGGCGGGCTCCATGTATCCATCCTCAACAAAGGTCTCATATATCTTGGGAACCTAGTAACGTCTTCATCTAAATGCTCCAGTTTCCATAATTACTCTTTGACAATTTTGGAATCTGTGTTTGCATCATCTCCGCCATCTTTGATCGACCGTGGCGTGGCTCTGATACCACTTGTTGGAAATTTAAAGAAAAATGAAGAATGATAGATGAAGAAACTTTTGCATTAAATTAAAATTGGCTAAAAAAGAAAAAATTACAAGAACACACTCTTTGATCTCACGGTCACTCTCTCCTTTCTTTTTTCTCTTTCTAAGTGCCACGACACTTTCTTTCTACTATTGGGTACTCTGCTTTTCTTTTTTCACTAATACACACCTAAACATACATGTGTATTTATAGGCTGCTACTACCGACTTGTGTTGTCTTCTCTTCCTTTTTTTGCTATTTGTTTAATTCTGAATTGTTTGTCGGCAACCAAAAGTTGTTTTTCTATTGGCAACTCATCATAACTGGAAACATCAAGAATGGCAGTAGAAGATACCAACTTTATAGATGAACTATGTATTGGAGCTTACCTGTTCTCCAGGTCTCTTATTAGGATAGGACGGAAGTCGGGGTGGCTGCACTGCGCTTTATATCTTAAGCTATGTCCTTCTTCCTAGGCTCTTCTAGTAGATGGCGGAAGAACTTATTTTTATCAAGTCCTGTAGATTTTTCTCGTATGGCGGTGGGTCAATAATGAGTGGCAAAGTCAAAGTTTAATTTTTGACATTAGGGATGTTGAGCTAGATTCTTTATCTATTTCATCCTCCTCCCTATGATAAAGGGAAGATAATGTGTAACATGTTTGATTTAGGACTAGTTCTTATATAAATTTGATTTCTTACATCTATTGGTTTATCACATGACTGATTGTGTCCAACTATTACTCTTTATGTTGGATTGACTTATATTTTTGTGGATGACACCTGATTTCCCGTACGTGTTCAAATAGAGCGAGAAATGTGATTTTATCGTTTAGTATTGATTGTTTTTTTTATTGGATATATCTTCTCCTTGCCCTTTCCCAAATTATAATTTCAAGTATGTATTTGTAAGTTTGTGACTACAAACTAGAATGTGTGTTGATTGTCACCAAATGGCAAAACTGGTCTCAGAGGCTTACTGTAGTGAACTAATAGTTAGGGAGAGAACTAGATTCCATCATTTCGGACATGGTTCATGTTCTTGTAAAAATTTCAACAAATAAAAAGATCCAGAAGAATAGCTACAAGTAGTAAAGTTCTAACTTACATTGAAATATATATTTTTTATTTTATTGCTTAGGTAAGTCACATGTCAATTCAGATCTTCATTTAATTATTATAGAAATTGAATTGTTTTGTATTATATTCATCTTGCTTCAAGAAACATGTTAATCTTGATGGAGCTGGTCTATAAAACAATAACTGAGGTTCCGTTGCCAAGTTTGAAGGGCTTTAATCTTCAATACTGATATAAACAAGTTTATACACTCTCGGATTGAATTACATGCCAGATTAAGTTAAGAAACCAACGATAAGTGTAAGCGGCCAATTTGCCACTTGTGAAAGAAAAAGAAAAAAAAGGTAACCAAAATTCTTCTATTTTATTGTCATAAACATTTTCTGTGCAAAGTAAAACCATAAATATTGAATGTATATGCGTAAGAGCTTTTGATGTGCTTTAGTCAATCGATTGTGACGATCAAATGTATTTTGCTATTAAGATTATGGATATTAATGCATGGATAACACTTAAAAAAGGATAAGAATATAAGAGGTAAAGTGATGATGATCACGACAGTAAAGAAGATAGTGTAGATAAATCACCTCTAATTGTAATAAATATGATGATGATCGTGCCATATTATGAGATTTTGATGATGATCATATCATGAGATTTTGATGTCTTATACTTAAAAAAGAGACATTATTTATCTTGAATGATGATTGTCTCTATCCTTATCCGCAATTGGTATTAGTATTGCATGAGTTAACAAAAAAAAAAAAAAATTAAAATAAAGCTCTTTCTTTTATCTTTAGTTAAAAGTAACTGTTAACTTAAAAAAAAAAAAAAAAATGGCCAACAAGCTATTAGTAGGAAATAATCTATCGACGATAGCTAACGGTTTTAAGCTATTCCTTATTAATATACTATAAATCATGCTGTCAATATCTATTGATTTATCATGCTATTTCGATTTAGATTTATGTACAAATATATTTTGTATAATTTTTGGCAAATCTATAATTTTAAGGTGAAACAGGAAACCAAACACATTGTACGTACATTAAAATTAATTATTATTATTTTTACAAAATTAAAAATCTAGCACTTAATAATATTTTGTTTTAAATACAATTTATAAATTTTATGAAATGAATAAGTATACAACTTCTAATTATATGAAACAGATAGTTATAATTTATTTTAATTCAGAAAAGCTGAATTAGTTACGTACAACATCATTCAGCAGATGACTTGCTTTCAAAAATTAAATCACAACCATTTGACCATCTGATTAAAAATTTGTTCAAGTGCATCCAATCTAAACAAATTTATACACTGGGAGACTACTAGTTGAAATTTCATTTGAAACTAAATTTTTCGTTAAAAAAAAAATCAACCAGAAAAAAAAATATTCGTCATACAATTTCCAAACTTAAAATTTCAGTTGATATCTTGAAGCCCGGTGCGCTTGTTTTCTCAATTCACCACAAACTAGACAATTTGATACAAATAATAACCAATGGAAATTTCCAAAACACCGTATATTATGGCCTTCATAATAAATGATAACCAAGCTCAGAAACTAAATAGAGCTTATCTCATATTTTGCATTTGTACTAGTTCTAAGAAACTAAATCACATGAAACATTTACTTTACTCTCATTCTCAAATTTCTGAAGAAATTAGGGGGATTCCACTGAATTTCTAAATAGATTCAACCAATTTATCAAAATTGGATGTAAGAAATTCAAGCACCATAATCTCCCAAAATTTGCATTTCAGAGAAAATTGACAAAGCTAAGAAATCCAAGCAAATGAATGGAACAGCAAGTTTCCGAAACTATTTTAAGTGCTAAAAGAAAACATGTTAGAAAATAGACAATAGAAAGCTACATCCCCAAGCACGTTGCAGCTAGAGTAAGTTTTCAGTACAGAATCTTTTAAATACATCAACAGAATGAGACAATAGATGTACAGGAATTGTCTATGGTTTGCGAGCTGGGGGTGGTGAACTGCTGCTGCTGCTGTTGCTAATACCTCTTCCTCTCAAAGGCCTGCATTTAGGAAGAAATTTTAACACAGCAAAGAACTGAAATGAAGATGCAATTCAATTAAATAACTTAAATTAGAAGAAACATCAATGCAGACTTTGCAAGTTAACTCTAAAGTTGACATCGCTTATTAACATATCATTTAATGAAAATCTACAAATGCTAAACTATTTTAACAAGCCTAGGAGGTTGTCCTGGAGATGTGCGCTTGAAAAAATTAATTAATACTAGTTCAAATATTCCAATAAGAGAATACCACCACACACAAAAAAAAAACTCGAGTACCCGAGATCCTACTGCAGATTAATTGTTAGCATTCAGGAAGGGAAAATACGTAAGATTGCCAATCTTATTTACATCAAACATATAAGCATCTACTTAAGATTGCATCCTCGTGTCATGTGTGAAGCACCGAAACAAACTGGTGTCTGACAGGCAACAAAACCATATCAGTTAAATCAATTTCATATGGTCATCCGTTACCGCTTTTGAGCTTTGAATGCAGTCAGTGTTGGTTTTCATTTATATTATATTTTTAAGTGCCTTTCTTGAAAGAAGAGAACTGAGAACTAATCCTTCTCTTCGGAAAATTTATACCAAGAGAGTCACCAGTGGAAATTCTAAACAACATGAAGCTTATTTTTATCTTGTTTTACGCCATAAATGATTACATTATTATAGAAGTTGAAAAGGGAGAAAAACACATCAGCAGCAACAAAATAAACACCAGAGCTTCTAAACACAATAGAAAGCAATCTGCCAAGCAAAATAAAACTGTGGATGTTACCAAACAAGAAAAGGAAATAAAATGAAAGATTAAACAAGAAAACAATTATATCAAAAGTACCATATACATTACCTTCTTGGACTGCGACTCTTTGATCTCCGGGATACCTGTCAAAATTATGAAGGGCTAAGCTATAGAACATCAAAAGTAGAAATAACGTCAAAAGCAAAGAAGGGGGGCACAAACCTTGCGGGGACTAGGTGAACCAGAGTAGGACGAGGACCTCCCGCGTCTCACAGGGGGTCGACCTCTGTAAAAAGGTAAATTTCATGGAGTGTTGACACATTTACGAAGTGTTAGCATTCAAACATTCAATCTCAATGGATCAATTGGTGCATAACATAAATAGAAATCCAGAAATAACAGTATTAAAACTTCTCATGTATTTCGGATGCATATTGAAGTACACAGTGGACATATTCTGTGAAATAAGCAATTCTTTTTTCTTTTTTCTTTTTGGAAAATAAATAAGCAATTCTTTGATTCTTCCTAAGCAACACAATTGTTACTCTATTGAATCTCTTTCTCTTCTGCCATTATTTATCAGGTGATAAAAGTCATTTTTCTAACACATGCAGGTCTACATCCTTAATTACTAGTTAAGCATCAATTTAACCTTCATTGGGCCTGCGTATATCACCATTTGAAAGGATCTTGGTAACTACAAAATCCATCAGGGCCAAGCATCATATTTTCACATGCTCATTGACAGCCCACACCTTTTTTGCTTCTATCAAAATATTACAATGCAAAAAAGGCAAATGAATACTTAAAAAATAGGGCATAATATAGGGAACAAAGGAAGAACATCAGCCTATTTAGTAAACTGAGACATATGCATGAAAGAAAATTACCTCCGAGGTGAGAATGATCTTGAACGTGAGCGTGCAGACCTACGAATTGGAGAGCGACTGCGTCTGCGACTGATTGGAGATCTTCTAGGAGGACTACGAGCTCGTCTGAGTGGGGGTGAACTGGAGGAAAATATTTATTTTTCAATGGGTAACCAATAGCATGTATGATATAAAGCAAAACACAAAATGATAATCAAAGAAAGTGATCAATCAATTTGGGTACCGGCGCCGAGGAGGAGGAGGAGGAGAACGTCTCCGGCCTGGGCTTCCACGCAACCTTCTAGGTGAGACCCTACAGAAATGATAATTAAATCAGTAGACCTGACCAAGGAAAATGTTAATCAAACATATGCAATTACAAGCCAACCTTGCAGGGGATCTAAGGCGCCTTGGTGGAGATGGAGAACGACCTCTTCCAGGAGACACAGGCCTCCTCCTAGGTGGTGTGTCACCACGACGAGGAGGAGAGTCTAATCGACGACGGACAGGAGAATCAGCACGGCGGCGAGGAGAATCTGGTCGTCTTGGAGATCCAACTCTTCGAGGCAGAGGAGATCTCCTCCGTGGTGAAGGAGGAGGTTTTCTCCGAGGAGAAGCTGGTATCATCAATTTGCAGTTAAGTACGCATAAAACCCACCAACATGATCAATGCAAACAAAAAAAATACTGCACAAACACATCAGGTATATACGTTCTCTCTGCCGTTTTGGCCCATCCTTTTCAACATCTGCACTAGCATTATCAGTCCTAGGGGCATCTCTCTTTGGAGCAACAGCAGAAGCCTTTGGGGGTGGTGAAACTTTCTGTCTTGGAGGTAGGGTAAATCTTGCCTTAATGACATTGCCATCTATTTGGGCCTGCATTACAGAAAATAAAGGCATCACTTTCCAAATGCAGCAGCCAGCAAGCTTGATTATGGAAATTAGTCCTACTCAGTTCACAGAAACCTACACCATCCATGAACAGAAGTGCTTTTTCAGCGTCCCCTCTTGTCTTGAATTGCACATATCCATATCCTTTTGGAAGATTAACCTGGAAATGAGAACAAAAAGCAAATTGAAAACACCATATCACACTAAATCCCTCTCAAGCTATCATGCCAACGTTATGCAAACTTACATTTCGATCCATTGCCAACTCAACACTAACAACCTCACCGAAGTTACCTGAAAATTAATGCATAATGGTTACTAAAAAATCACCAAAAGAGGATAAGAGCACGTTAAAGATATAAAGGTCACTAAAATCTCTCTTCCAGATACTGATATAAGCTCCATAAGGTTATTAAAAGGTCTCTTTCGACTATTGATATTCCATGTAAGAAATAAGATAGTGTAAATGTCTTAAAAGTTAATAATAATATTACTATCTCGGTGACGAAAAAGTAACAGTATAATTACATCGAAACATAAATAAAAAAAGAAACATAAGAGAAGTTTCCTTGGGCTTAATTTCTGGATGCTCATTGCACTGCCATGAGAGATTGCTCACGTTGTCATTGGACAAGACCAATTAAATGTGAATTACCAAATAAGAGCTCATCCGACTATTTGACAACCATGAGGATGTCAACATAGAACCTATACTATCACATTCACAGTATAAGATGAAACTAGATGTTAGAAAGAAATGAACATACTGAAAATTTCTTTCAAATGGCCTTCATTGACATTCCTGCTGAGTTTCTCTATGTGAAGAACAAGTGATTCACGTACAGGAGAAGGCTTCCTAAGATCAGGCATAAGAAATAAACACATAAGAAAAAGGCACAAGTAACACAAAAAGAAAGAAAGTCTTTCAATTGAAGAACTTAAAAGGATCACATAAATAGCATGCTGAATTTAATTTAAAATTATGAAGTGAAACATCAAAATAAAAAATATATAAATATTACAATTTACAATATTTGAAAGATATGATCATATGAGAATTCAAATCCATTAAATCTTGAATATGAAATGTTCAGTTCTGCACTAAAAATTATAAAAACAAATGTGACCTTAGGACATTTACTACTCACTAGCCATCTTCCATACATCACTTTAGTCAGCAAGGAACTGGGGATCAAAGTATTTGAAATGTCTGCATTTAGAAATTTATCAACAAAAGAAATAATAGGCTAAAACCTGACACTAGAAATCTGTGTCAACTGTCGTGTTCCACTATTAGTTTGCATCTTACTGACTTGCATGATACACCATGTTAAACATTAACAAGGACAGCAATCGTATCCATGCGGCATATAGAAAACATAAATTGAAATAACAATTTCGAGTCTCTAGGACAAAATTCCAAATTTATCAAATGCAGATTGCGGCATGTGGCGGCCAACCCTGAAAAACGCTATAGCGAGTTGCGGCTGCGGAAATAGCAGAATAGATATATGACAAAAATAATGACAAAAAAAAACATTTTTTAAAGGCAGATAGAGAGAAGTGATAGAAAGAGACACAGATTGACTAAAAAAACCTTAAAAAATTTCAGTTACACAATTAAATTTAGGACAAAATTGACATTTTGCCTTATGACAGCAATATGGCTGCAATTTGGCTGTAAATGCGATCGCAATGGCCGCTATTGCGTTCTGGTGCAACGCGGCACGGTTTCTTGCGGCAATGCACCGCCACGCCCATACGGCGCGGCTCGTGACACTATTGCAGTGCAATTAACTACTATGCAAAATTCTCAAGAAGTATGACAAAAAAAAGTAGAATCAAAGTAGTAAATTTGAAATCATTTTACCTTGGAGGAGGAGAAGTTCTCTTGGACTGAGCTGGAGGAGATCGACCTCGCCTAGCTGCTTCAGGAGGACTAAAGGACAAAAAAAGCAAAAATAGTACCATATCAATTATGCTCTACCATTAAATAACAATATAATTGACCACAAAGTGAAGGAAAATTGCTTCCACTGTCTACTCTTTAATTTGATGTTTGTACTTTATACAGCTGAAAGTAATGATATGATGTACCCTGATTAACCAGCTATTTTTAACTGATACCTATCACAACACTAGACTATGCGATAACAGATTTGAGCTACTGATACTTTTAAAGAGCCAACTGCACTCAGTTGTCACAGGTTACCAGGAAAAGTTGCAGACCAACTCCTACTCAGTTATAATTACATCGCACAACTCGTCAAACACAAACAACAAAAAGAAAATCCAAGAGATCATTGACATGCTTAAACAATCCTCTTCAAAAACATCACAAAACGAGCAATCGATCTAGGGGATCGAAATCATATCCAGAATCGAAAATCTGCACCCACACTCAAAATGCAAAATCGCAAGCGAAAAAGGATTGAATTCTCAAATCTTCAGCATGAAATCCCAAAAAAAAAAAATGAAAAATTAAAGTTCTCAACTTCAACATCAAATAGGAGCTCAGAGAATAACGCACACTCGCATTTATTTTCTATACAAGCCAAATTCAACAACACAAACAAGCTGCAGAACCTCGAGTTCAATTCACGCTCCAATTTTTACCTCCACGACTTCGAAATCGCAAACATTAATTCAGAAATCAGTGGCTACCTTTTTCGCCTCTGAGGAGGAGGGCTCCGGCTCCGGGAACTACGCGACGGAGAGGACGAGGAGGAAGAGAAAGATCTGGAGCGAGAGGGAGAGCGAGAGGAGCGAGAATCGGAAGGAGAGGAGGAGCGAGAGGAAGAGGCTGAAACGGAGCCCGACGGTGAGCGACGACCTCGCCCAGGTTTCGCCATTGTTAGAGAGAGAACGAAACCCTCGATAAACCCTAGCTAATGGCGAAGTGAAGTGAACCCAAGAATGAACACACACACGGTGCAAAGCGCTTATCCCTTTGTTATTTGGACTTTGGAGCAGGTCATTTCCGGGTCGGGTCTATCCGAGTTTTCATGGATTCATTTCATTCCTAATTTTTTTTTTTTTTTAAATATTCGGTTCATTCCTTTGCAACTAATTTGATTCGAGGCGGATTAAGATTTTAAATCTCTTTCAATGTTATTTTTTAGGTATGTATTACAATCATTGTATGTAATTTAATTATCTCTTATATATATAAAAATATATGGACCCAAAGAAAAAAAAAATATGAATTTCACACACTATTATATATATAGAAAATAATTTTACTTTTGTTTATTGAAAAAAGTATTTTCTACAACATAAAAAAAATTACTTTTTTTATAAAAATCAAACTAGTCAAATCGATTCACATTGGTTCTGACATAATGACTGATTTATTATGCTTTTAAAAAAAAAAAAAATTAATATTACAGGTGTACTTAATCCCGTACACTCATTTATTAAAATGGATAAAAAATTTATTTTAACCCTTTTTTTAAAAGGGAAAAAAGTTTTTGATCTTAGTTTAGATAACTTTATCTAATGTTCATCGAAACGACGTCATTTTGATGTTGAAAAATTAAAAAATTAGAGTGATAAAGACTATTATAACCCTGAAATAAATTAAAATTACAAAAATACCATGATTTCCGTCCCAAAACGACGTCGTTTTGATGAACATTAGATAAAGTTATCTAAAGTAACATCGTAAAAAAACAAACTTTTTTTAAATGTCCTTCTATATCCCAAAAAATTTACTTATTTAATCAGGTGTAAATACACCCCTTACACCGAAAGTTTGCTCGCTTTTTAGACATTGGTCAATTGGTAAGAATTTCAAAATAAAAAATCATTTATGGATTGAATCAGCATGTTGGAAAATTTCTTAACTACAGTAGACGTATCCATTTGGCTACATCTTTTTTCTAAAAATGAAAAAAATTCTTCTTTTTAAATCCAGTTTTTAACTTATGTTTCCATCTACGTCCCAAATTTTTTTCTTTTTTGAGCAAGATGTACGTACATATACTGCACCCAAAATTCACTCATCCCAGTGGGTTTTCATAACATTGATATAAGAAATAAGAATCCAATAACATAGTCGAACAAACATGAAACTTCAATTAATAAAAAAATATTATTTCACCAAAAAGCAATGTTTAAAATATATTGTTGACATCTTGACATTTAGAGAGATAAATTAAGTTAAAAGGAAAGGTGGATAAATCAGATATGAGATTGAGACTTGACCTATGGTTTGTGAAAATTATTCTACGCAAAGTGTTGAAAAATAAAATTCTAAAATCTAAGGTGGGATAAATCATGTATTTATTTTTCTTTTCTTTCTTTCAAACCTATGTGATTCAGCGGGTCTCAGTTCAATTATGTAATTAATCTCTTACAAATTAGATATTAGACACACATAATGTATATAACTTTATAACATCAAATTGACTTATTTTTTCACCTTCCAATCCCATTTGGATGTAAGTTTCAATTTTTGCCAAATAAAGAAAACAAAAAACAGTCTAGATATGTTTTTTTTCTTTTTCTTTTAGTCTAATTTTGTAAAAAAAAAAAAATGTGAACTCCAGAAATTGTGAACTATCAGTGTATAGGCAAAGTCTGCATATGTTAACTGAAAAGTGACATAACTTCAGAAATTCAAGCATTTCAGGAATTGCATATGACTCTCCAAGACCACAAATTCACTTGAACTTCAAAGACAATGTGAACTCCACTCAGATCATTGCTCACTCTCATAGCTGCTAATCATAAATAAAGTATCACAGTGATCATAAAACAACACATTCTGGGATGGATTAAATTCATAACAAATCAGTTCTTGACTTCTTCCAGCTTATGTAAATAATCTTCTACTTCATTGAGGTTCCTCAGTACTAGTTGATGCTTCAGAACGCCTTCTCTTAGCTTCATTATCACCCAGCTGCAGTGAAACACTTAAATCTTCATCACACTCATTCCTCAATGAAGACAAATTCTCTGTTGCAGCTCTGTCAAGCATGTTTTTCTTGTGCAATGGAGACCGCCCCATGAAACTCGGGATGAACTGGTGCTCGATACTCGGACCTACCTTGATTCCATCTTCTAATTTAAATTCAGTCTCCATGGTTGATGGTTTCATGTCTTGGCTGCTAGGTTCAACTCCTAAGGGAATGGACTGAATTTGAAGACCAAGTGGCTCAAATTTGTCTTCAGCTTTATCTTTGGGGAGTATACCATCAGGAGTTGAGGAATCTCCAACAGTAGAGCCAATTGCTGTAGCTGAGGCAGCTCTTTGTTCTTGCACTGCCACTATATGTAACAGCAGCAAAAACAGGATCAGGATTTATTACTTCAGATTTTAGTAGTTAACCTTTAATTTCACTTCATGTAGATAATCCTAATCAATTCAAAGAACAAACTTTTCAAAAACTTCTCCATATGATATGATTACTATATGAATTGTGTCCATATTTTCACACTATCTTCATTGTAAATAAATATTATCATAGTAATATAGTAACAGGTTTCAAGAAAATGATTTTATGCTAGATTTGGTTTTGGATAGGCAAATATAGGAACTAACCCTACTAAGATCATATCAGATTAGAAGAGTCAATTACCACCTATTGCACCATATACCTTCGAGTATTGACATAGTTCCGGACCATCAATAGCACCCAGATGTTTTTGTGGACATCTTCCAAACTTCATTTTAAATTTGAAGAAGCCTTTTGGTATATCATAAGTTAAAAACACACCCCATTGTAAGCTCTAATCCATTATTTGACAATGCTAAATTGGAAATATAACAACTCCCCGTTAACCCTAAATAGTGAGGGTGGGGTGAGGGCTTTTAAATATATATATATATATATATATATACTTAAAAACTTGGTAGGGAGAGTTTTGCCACCCTTGTGGTCCTGCTCGGCTCCACCGGAATAGTCAATTAATCGATGAACCAGTGGAGAAATCTCAAAAAAATAAAATAAATGAAAGAACAGAGGAACCTAAAAATGATCTGATAGAGATTGAATGACATACCTCTAAGTCCTTCATCTGTTGTTATCAAATCAAGTTCAAGTAGATTGAGAAGGCTCCCAAGATCAACCCCACTAGTCCAATTCTCAGGAGGTTGCCCAACTTTTAACTTAAGGCGGCCCCGGTTAGCTGTTCCTCCCCATATGATCCCAATTGGTTGTGGTTTCTCACCATTGTCGCCTTTTAACATGATGAGACTTCCACTATCTCCTTCAAGGTCAAAAGTTTGTTGGTTCTCACCAACAACAAGAAAATCCGTTAGAAAGCATATTCCTTTCTCATCATTGTACTCTAGGGCATAAGCCAAAACAATTCCTGTAGTCAAGCCAGAACTTCTTCCAACCTTCACTACTTGTTTTCCAATAAGGCTACTAATTGGAGACTGTAGGCCAATAATTTTCACGTCACCAATGTCTCCAACACCTTTCACGGAAGTAGTAACAGTGGACATGTCAAAGTCATCAGCAAAAGGGATGAATGCACCGTCCGCTCTCACAAAAGTCTCTGCAGGAGAAACGCACCATGATGACTGATGAGTATGTGCAGCGAACAAATGTTAAGTGCCACAATTAAATCAATCAGACTCCTAAAATTATGTTACCTGGGTTTATTCCAGCGAATATGCCATACCAAAGTTCATCTGTTATAAATGAAGTTGCTCTCTCAACTGCACCAAGATAAACCCCAGGACCCAGTGTGGGTGGAAGAGGATGAAACATCTTTTGATTTGGATAATCTAGGTCAACTGCTACGTGACGATTTGTGAGAAAACCAACTTGCCGACTACCTGTTTGGCTCCTCACAATGGCACCCAAAGTGCCATATGTCTCCTGGCTCGCCACCTGGTTAGAGATTCAATAAATTCATCAAATAGAACACGATTACAGGAATTTACTAACAGTAATGCTTCAATGAACTGCATTGATTTCTGAAAACAGTAAGTGAAGTGATCTGCCATAGCTAGATAGCTATTCTATGATAATGATAATGTGGACATTCAACTCACTTAAGAACACAAAGGGATGAGATACATGTAGGAAAGGTTCAAGAATGGCTTTATATTTAACAAATTCTTTTACAAATTTGACTTATTAAGAGGACAATGGTCAGCTGAAAGTCTGATATTTAATTTATCATACAAATTTGTATCAATTCAGAAAACCCTTTTTTTACATATTACAATATGGTATCAGAGCACCCTATAAACTGCACTTAGATGTTAGTCAATTCATGCACTCACCCAAGGAGAAACATCTAAGTGCAGTCTATAGGTAAATCAGGTCAGAAAATATAGAAATATAGAGTTATGTATCCCAAAAACATATTCAAAGAGCTCAGGTTGAAAGATCATAGAAAGAAAAGCTGATTCCCATAGGTCTGGCCAGAGACATTCCAATAATAAGATCGTCAAAGAAAATACATTGGGAACCAGATTTATGGTTAAGTTCCACTTCAAAAGCTGTTAAACATATATGCTGTGAATGCCACGTATACAAATCAGGGAGGAAATCAAATACTTAAACCATTGTTTAGAAGCATACACATCCATCTACAGGTATCAGTTAAAAATTAGAAACAAATAAAGATAGATAAAAAATTTAACCGCATAATAGCTCCAGGCAGCATTAGATAGTTCATATGAATCTTGAAATCTAAGGTCCAAAATTTAAAGAAGTCATGAATCAACAGTAGCTATGTCTCTAGTAGTCTATCATAGAAGGTCAAGTCCATCCACACATAAAGACACCAGCATGAACTTTTGTGAAGTTAAAGTGAGTCTTGAGAAAACTTAAGATGCTTTGTCGAAGTTACAAAACCTGCGAAGTTAGACTCATGTAGGCAAAGCTTTCCACTAGAACAACACCACCATGGAAAACAAATATGATACTTGATAGAATCAAAGGACAGTTAGGGATGGCAATTTTCAACACGATGCAAGAAATTTGTGCTCAAGTCGACCCATTTTCAAAATTCACGTTGTGTTTGTGTTGCAAAAAATTGAAACGAAAAAATCCCTGTCATGCTGAGTGTCAACCCGTAAACATGATATTGACCCGCCAACATCTTCTTACAGGTTATTCATGTCGTGTTGTGTCAACACAACATTGGTGAAAGTAACATTTAGTATACAGGTTATTCATATCATGTCAACCAGCAAAATAAACGGATCGTATTTGTGTCAAAGATTTTGAGCCTTTTCAAATTTGTGTCGTGTTCGTGTTAAATTCATGGTGTGTTGTGTCACGTCAACCCGAATTGTCAACCTTAATGACAGTAGTTACAAATCACAATATGATTTTTAAGTGAAAAAAGGTTGCCCAATATCAGGCTAAAAATGCTTCTTTGATCACCACATATTTGGAATATTAATCAAAAGCTATTCTTTTGTAAATTGGAAGAATCCCTTCATAGGAAACATTAATTAAGAGTGCAAAGAAACACCTGAGATCCTGAACCAATGCAAGGATCACCCCCACGCAAGTCATCTGTTATCTCTGTATATAGCTGTTCCTTTGGAACTGGCTCGGGTGCACCAAAATATGAGAACTCCACCACATCTACATCACACCATACTCCACCAGGCCCCTGATTCACAAAGTAAACATCTATTTTTACTGCAGCACTAGGTACTACGGAACTTGTTACTGACTATTCATGGTAATATATATAGAACAGAAAAATTGAATCAGAGAGGTTAAGGTAGAACATCTCCAAGAACCTCAAGAGCAGTAGGTAGACACTGGATTGGGCTGAGCCATTGCTTGTGAACTTTCCTGGAAACAAACACTAGAATGGCAGGAATATCTGTTAATACACCTCGCCGAATGCGAAAACCAATTGCTGTTCCAAGACTGTAACAACGCAGTATCTTGCTGTGAAAAGCCCTAATTGTCATGAGTTCAAGTAATGTGGTTGCCTGCTGCCCTTTTGGCAGCCGACCAAGGGTTTCAGGTAGTAACCCCTTTTGTAGATTTAAAAAATAGTTTGCTCTCTCTTCTGCAGCATCATGGATGCGGCTAGGCCATGAGAAGTAAGCAGCATTGCTCTCACAGTGCTGTCCAGCCGAAGCAAAGGGTTGAAGCATAGGTGGACTCAGTGAAGGCAGATTAGAATGACCACAACAGTTTCTTTCAAGATCCAAAGCTGATTCTTCCGATGGAGTCGAACCAGAGCAACGAGCCCTCATGTTAAGCCTGGGGCGCTCCATCTTTTGATTAAACTAAAACAATGTTTTATTTAAACAAAAGGGGACTAATATAATTCAAAAAATGACAAAGAAGAAGATAGCAATACAAACTCGAGCTTAAATCAAACTTCAAAAGAAAGAGAGAAGGGACATCAATTTTAGGACAAAAGAACTAAAAATCAGCTTTTGATTAAACATATTGTTAACAAAAATGGGGACTTGTATGGGGGAGATTCACCACATAAGCCTATAGTTTTCATTTATAAATAAAAGAAATTTGAACAGAAGGAGAAAGCACAGAAAAAAAAAATCAAATCAAAATATCAAACTCTAAATTACTTTTAGAATAATTAATAGAAAGGCAAAGGAAGGTACAACGTACAAGCAATGATAAGGGAGATTAAAGGAAAACCAGATTATAAAATGTAAGAAGGAAATTTTGCCACCTATGAACTATGACAAATTGTTAAATGGTGAGTAAGAAAAGTATCCCATGGTATTATATTATACATGATGTGTATGTAATTAAAACAGAACAGCATACTACATAATCAGAAAACCATAGAAGAGTGACAGTCACTCCCATGAATGAATAGCAGAAGCAAGTTTTACCCCCTAAGTTTCAGACATGCTAAACTTCTTTTGGAAGCTACCATACACGCCAAAAACAAGGCCAAAAAAAAAAGACTGAAATTCAGGATACTTCATCCATAAATAATAATTAAAAAAAAAACAGCAAAGAACAAATTTGTATTCCTCCATTAGACAAATTAAGGTCCTTAAAGCACAAAAGATACGTCCTTTCTGTGTCAGAGACTTAGTTTCCGGAAATTTCAACATGGGTAGTCTATAGTTTAACAATCAAACGCCATAAAGCTAAGATTTTGCAGGTTTCCACAGAACCCCAGTGACCCAAAACACCCAAAAACCATAAGAAAAAGAAAAATTCAGAAAAAAGAAAAAAGAAAATAGCATATACACATGTATCAGCTTTAAGGATGGCCATTTCATGCTGAAAAGATATATATATATATATATATATATATATATATATATATAGAGAGAGAGAGAGAGAGAGAGAGAGAGAGAGAGAACAAACACACAGTGGCAGGCAGTGATCGGTTCAGGGGCAGAGCAGTGATCGGTTCAGGGGCAGAGTGGAAATTGGAAGAGCCTCATTGAGATACCCAGTTCATCCAAAAGGCCAATTGGAAAGAGAATTTGCAGAAAAGTTGCAGAATTTAGAGGGTGGTTTGAATGGAGCTAAGTGGTGATTGCAATTCAATCCCATAAGCTGCATAGAAATGTGGTAAAGTAAGCTCAGTGTCTCTTTGTACTTTGTAATGTGGTAAAGTAAACCAACACACACAATGTGCTCCTTGTCATTACATACCCAAAACCAAGTCGTTTTGGAAGATAATTAATATAATTTAATAATTAATTATAATTATGACCTTAAAATAATATTTATCTGATTAGAGATACATTAAACCTTACATATTTACACGTGTGTTTATTTTTTTTATCACACAATTTTTTATAATATATGAAGGATGGAAATATTTCCAGCATCGATATTATCAAATATAGATATTTTTATTAATTATTAATACGTTATTTATATTTCATGCACTCTATAGGTTTAATATTAAAACTAACAATTGACAAAAATTATATAACCAATAAGGATACTGATAAAGAAGTTAAAATAACATATTGGGGAGGGTCTTATCTTATTAGACATGCACCCGGTCGTGTCGTGCGACAATTTTATGTTTGGAACAAATTAATTATGAACAATTTGATATTTTGTGACATTTTAACTTTTTCATTCTTTTACGGTATACCATACCTCTTTCATTTTAGTATTATTATTAGTTTGTATAATTGTATGGGCATGTATTTGTCTCGTTGTTAATCTTGTGCTTAATTTATATTTAGATTTATATATAATTAGTTTTTGGAAAACTATTTTCTCATTTCACCTAAGATATGGTACTTTTTTTTAAATAATGGGTCCCACTTTATTTGTCTCACCATAAGATAGGAATTCTCTCTAACAACATGAGAGAAATAAGATAGTATTTTGTACCGTAATCCTTGGACTCGCATCCAAACTCTGGATTAGTCTCATAGGCGGCTCAAAGAGTCGAACCCGTGGAGATACCAGAAGTTCTGATTCGCCTCAAAGAGGTATGATATGCGCCTAGCATATAAGGAAATCTGAGCCAAAAAGAGAAAGAATGTTGATGAAATCTTGAGAAAAAGAGCAAGAATCACTGTTAATTTGTCAGAATCTTAATCAAGGATTGAATACTGATTTTATGCTAATTTTGTAGGAAAAAGCAAACAAACTGGAGCAAAACGAGGATTTTGCAAAATCAAAATCCACGCTCAAAGCGTGGATCTCACGCTGGCAGCGTGGAAGAAATTTTTCAGACAGAAGCGTTCACGCTTGAAGCGTAAAGTTGACGCTGAGAGCGTCAGTTTGCGAATTCTCAGACCCCGTGTTTTGCAACGGGGCAATTTTGGAAAAGAAAAAGATTTAAAAATCAAGTTTTTGATTCAGCAATGAGATCTCTATCCAAATTAGAGATAAGATTAGATGATTTGTGGTAAGATTGAATCAAGATTTGAAATTCTAATTTATCAATCAAATCTCCAAGGTTGTTACATGAAAAAAAGGAAACAAAGTTTAAATCAAATACAAACTCTTGGATGGGCTCAATGCCGGTGGTTATAATTAAGGAGATTGGGAGCACAACCAAGTAACCAATTGACAACTCAGAGCAAGCAATAGAGGACTGAAGATCAAGAATTCTTCTCCATTCTTTCTAGTAATTATAGTTTTTATGCTTTCTTTTGAATATTTGTTTATGTCGGATATGACTATGTCTGGCTAAGTTCTTTTATTGTAGTTAGGGTCACAACCCTATGTGAACCCTTGTTATGACGGATTGATTTAAATTATTGTACTCGTTTACATAAATTTCTTTATCTTATCTTGTGCGTATTTGATATTTTCTTTATTAAACCTGATCAATTTGATAGTTGAAAATAGTTTGAGGGTTAGAACCTTAAATAGGGATATTGGGGTTTCTGATCTCGAAAGGAGATAAGATAACTATTGGTATGCATACTAGGGATAGATGTCTATTTAATTGCAGATGTTGGAATTATTGTGTTCATTGCTTAATTCTCATGAGGGGTTACTAAGGGATTAGGATTCTAAGTGAGGTTAAAGGGTTAAGTTACCAAGGGATTGGGATTTAACTATTAATATATTGAGATCATAATTATCTGAGAAATTATATAAATAAGTATTTTGTATCAATCCAAAGTAATAAGTGGGGATCATAGGGAGAGTGTTCCCTGACTGCAATTCTTTCTCATATTTTCAAAACCAACTCCATTATTATTCTTCTTTTCATTCTTGAAAATACAAAAACTCAAAAATAAGTCTTTACTTTTATGGTTACTAAGATTCAATTTAATATTCCCAACAAAAGATCAAGTTTTTCAACTTAAAGTGACTGATTATTTTAGTACTTGGTTTTCAATCCCTGAGGAGACGATCTTTCTTACTACTTTACTACTTATGCGAAACGGTATACTTGCCGGATAGCATCAAGTTTTTGGCGCCGTTGCCGGGGATTGAAAATTTCAATATTATAAATAATCTTTGATCTTTGAGATTGAATTTTATTTTATTTTATTATTCTTGTTTGCATTTTACAGGTGCTATTAACAAAATTTTCTGAGTTTTATGCGAGGTAGACTTCCATCTAAAGACTTTTTGCTTGATCCTGAAATTTCAAGGACTGAGAGGAGACTGAGGAAGGCGGCTAGGCAGATAATTTGGGAAGATTTGAAAAGCGTACCTGCACAACCAAAACAAGAGATGGAAGGAGACAACAACGATGATGGTGGCATAGGCCACAATCCACCCCCAAGATTGTTGGAAAGTATTCTGACACCAGTGTTCAATAGGCCAAACTCAAGCATAGTCAGGCCGACGGTGGAAGCAAACAATTTTGAGTTGAAACCATCATTGATTTCTTTGGTGGCAAGAGCTCAATATTCTGGTGCTGACGAGGAAGACCCTCATGAGTTCATAGATCGATTTCTGATGATTTGTGACACTACGAAGCACAATGGTGTGCCAGCTGATGCTATCAGGCTCCGACTATTTCCTTTTGCTGTTAAGGGAAGTGCTCTCAAATGGATAGAAAGGCAACCAGCAAATAGTATCTCAACATGGGAAGATTTGTCAAACAAATTCTTTGCCCATTTCTTTTCTATGGAGAAATATAATCAGCTGGTGAATGCAATCACGAATTTCCGTCAATTTGAAGGAGAATCATTGTGTGCAACTTGGAATAGGTTCCAAGAACTTATCCGGAAGTGTCCACAATGGGAGGGAGACAATGACAGAAAGGTAGCAATTTTCTTTAATGGCATTTCTCCTGAAACAAGGTTGGTGATTAATGGTGCAGCTGGAGGTTCTATTCGGCAGAGTACCTCAGAGCAAGCCCTCAATCTGATAAAGAAGTTGGCAAGAGATGAAAATGAGAGTGTTCCAGCCTCAGTAAAAAGAGGAGTGATAAAACAAGAAAACAATGACACTTTGCTCGCTGAACTGTTATCCAAAAAGATTGATAGTAAGTTTGACAGTTTGGAGCAGCGATTTCAAAAATTCCAAGTGTCTCATGTTCAATCAACTCCTCAGGAAGCTCACAAATCCAACGAATGCTCTAATTCGTTATCAGATGATTCACCTCAACAAGTACAGGTGAATGGAATATGGTATGACCAGCGGCCTCAGCCGTCAAACTTTCCAAGGAACAATAATTATGGTGCTGGAGGTGGTGGTGGAAATTTTCAGCGAAGAACTCAAGGAGCTGGCATGGATTACAAATCTAATAACTACCAGCAGCCTCCACAAATTCAAGCAAAGGAACCCTCTGAATTGGAAAAGCTAGTGGCACAGATGGCTCAACATTCAAATGCTTTCATGGAGGAGCAAAGAGCCAACAACAAAAATACAAGTGCTTCCATAAAGAACCTGGAGAATCAGATAGGCCAACTTGCAAAGCAGGTTTCAGAAAGAATTCCGGGTACTTTTCCTAGTAATACAGTTATCAATCCAAAGGAAGATTGCATGGCTATTATCACTAGAAGTGGCAAAGTTGTAGCACCGCTTGCAAATCCAATTCTTGATCGTGTGGAAGACAAGGAACAAGCGGAGAAGCAGAAAGGAGCAATTGAACCAGAGGCTGAAGTAATTGTGAAAGAAAAGGAGAAAGAAGCCGTCATTGAAAAGGAAAAACCATCCTTCTTTGATAAGAACTGCCCATTGACCCATGAATATATAATGGCTCAAGCACCTTACCCAGAAAGGTTCAAGAAAGAGGTTACTAACAAGCATTATGACAGGTTCTTAGACATCTTCAAGAAGTTGCACATCAATATTCCTTTTGCAGAAGCCTTAGCAAATATGCCTGGATATGCAAAATTCATGAAGGATCTGTTGAAGAAGAATAAACTGCAAGAATGCCAAACCGTTGAACTTACTGCAAAAAGTAGTGCATTCATTCAGCAGAAGATTCCTGCTAAGCTTCGTGATCCAGGTAGTTTTAATATTCCCATTACTATTGATGATATTGCCATTGGCAGAGCTATTTGTGATCTTGGGGCTAGTATCAACTTGATGCCTCTTTCTATTTATAAGTCACTGGGAATTGAAGAATTGAAACCCACAGAAGTTTCTCTTCAACTTGCTGATAGATCTGTGAGGAAACCTAACGGGATCATTGAAGATGTTCTTGTCAAAGTTGACAAGTTTATCTTTCCTGTTGATTTTGTGGTGTTGGATACAGGGGAAGGAAGTGATAAGCCTCTACTTTTAGGTAGGCCCTTTTTGGCTACAGCCCGTGCTCTAATTGATGTTGAGCAGGGAATGATTAAATTAAGGATGCATGATGAGGAACTCAATTACAATGTTTTTGAGGCAATGAAAAGACCAGCTGAGAATGATGATTGTTTTCAAGTTGAAGTGTTTCAAGAGCAACATAAGAAGATGCGTCCACAAGAAAATGATTATGAGTTGAGAGCCCGTGATCATGTTCCTTTTGAAGGCAAAGAAGTTGCTGTGGAAGAGCTTAAAGAAAAAGCTGATGATATAGAAGATAAGCCACCCAAGGTTGAGTTGAAAACTCTGCCTGATACTTTGAAATATGTATTCTTGGGGAATGAAGAGACTTATCCTGTAATTGTCAATACGGCACTATCTCCTGGTCAAGAAGAGGAGCTTGTTG